TTAAATGAGTCAATCAGGGCAAGGCACAATAGCCTAGTGGCTAACATCCTTGCCTTTCATAAGGCAGGATCCCATTTGGGCACCAGTTCATATTCTCACTGCTCCTTCCCCCATCCTTGCTTGTGACCTGGGAAGCCAGTGGAGGTGGGCCAATGCCTTGGGACCCTATACCTGCATGTGTATCCAGGAAAGAAGCTCCTGGTTCCTGGCTTTGCCTCAGCTCAAGTCCCGTTGTTATGGCCAATTGGGTAGTAAACCAATGCATGAACAATCTTACTATCTGTCTCTCCTCCTTTCTGTAAACCTGACTTTTCAAAAATACATGAATTAATGCAATGACCAGAAAAGGATGTTGACTACTGGCTTTAGATTAGCTCAACTCCAAATGTTACAGCTATTTGAGGAAGGAATCAACAGATGGAAAATCACTCTCAGAATTCCCAGTTTCAGCATATGGGAAGCTATAATACCACAGCAAGTAGTATAGGACCATCAGTATATACAGAGATCAAAATAAAAGAAACAGAGACCAGAAGCAATCCTTATTTCCTTGGCCACACTGAATAACGTGAATGATTTATTTCCATAATAGGGAGAGGCCTATTCAGTTCAACCATTAGTGCTGCTACAATTGGACAATCACAGTCAAAAAAGAAGAGAGAGTCTTTTTTTACCATTCTGTTCAAAGCTAACTCCAAGGACTGGCACTATGTTGTGAGAAATTAAGTGTCTTTCTGCATCAGAGACATCACATAAGGGTGCTGTTCAAGTCCTGGCTGCACAAATTCCCATCCAGGTTCCTGCCTATGTAGCCTGAAAATGTAGCAGAAGATGAGAGAAGTTCTAAGGACCTTTGCGTAAAGACCTTCATGAATCTAATAACTCCTGGATTTGGTCTTGCCCTGTCCCAAAAACCTGAGAAAATCTGCAATATATACTAGATCAGAGATGAAACTTTGGCTCTCAATCTCTCGTTGCCATCTCTCCACCCAACCACAATCACCATCTTTTTTAATTCTGCCTTTCAATATACAATATATTAGAAACATAAAATGCATCAACTTACAATGCAGCAGATATAAAGCTATAAGATTCTAGCAGAAAGCCATGAGGTTTGAGGTCATGACTTCAGATTTGGCAATGGATTTCTGGACTTGATAATCAAATAAGGGGCTGACGCTCGGGGACGTGAGCCTCGGCCACATGGCGGCCGGGGTCCCCAGGCGCAATCCAGCTTGTCTCCTGGGAAGCAACCCACAGTCTTCACGCTCCCTTGGAAGACTGTGTCGGGGCGGCTGGACCCCCACACGCGGCCCTCTTTGGGCTTAGCGTCACGGAGAGGTACAGCGGATCCCACCCCCGGGCTGGGGCCGCCAGGGGCGTGGCTAGACCCAAGCCCAGGCCGGGAAGAGGGGCGGGGCTGACGCTCGGGGACGTGAGCCTCGGCCACATGGCGGCCGGGGTCCCCAGGCGCAATCCAGCTTGTCTCCTGGGAAGCAACCCACAGTCTTCACGCTCCCTTGGAAGACTGTGTCGGGGCGGCTGGACCCCCACACGCGGCCCTCTTTGGGCTTAGCGTCACGGAGAGGTACAGCGGATCCCACCCCCGGGCTGGGGCCGCCAGGGGCGTGGCTAGACCCAAGCCCTGGCCGGGAAGAGGGGCGGGGCTGACGCTCGGGGACGTGAGCCTCGGCCACATGGCGGCCGGGGTCCCCAGGCGCAATCCAGCTTGTCTCCTGGGAAGCAACCCACAGTCTTCACGCTCCCTTGGAAGACTGTGTCGGGGCGGCTGGACCCCCACACGTGGCCCTCTTTGGGCTTAGCGTCACGGAGAGGTACAGCGGATCCCACCCCCGGGCTGGGGCCGCCAGGGGCGTGGCTAGACCCAAGCCCTGGCCGGGAAGAGGGGCGGGGCTGACGCTCGGGGACGTGAGCCTCGGCCACATGGCGGCCGGGGTCCCCAGGCGCAATCCAGCTTGTCTCCTGGGAAGCAACCCACAGTCTTCACGCTCCCTTGGAAGACTGTGTCGGGGCGGCTGGACCCCCACACGCGGCCCTCTTTGGGCTTAGCGTCACGGAGAGGTACAGCGGATCCCACCCCCGGGCTGGGGCCGCCAGGGGCGTGGCTAGACCCAAGCCCGGGCCGGGAAGAAGGGGGGGGCTGACGCTCGGGGACGTGAGCCTCGGCCACATGGCGGCCGGGGTCCCCAGGCGCCACTTGGCGCCAGGCTCCGCCTGCTGGCCGCCCGGCCAGGGAGCCCTGAGAAATTGGTTCTCTGCTGCTCACGACAGCTTCATGCTAAAACTCGGTGTTTTGGGGACACCAAGCAACCCTAAAGATTTCCAATGTCTGTAAATCTCCCTCAGACGAATCTGCTGCTATCATGGTTTCACTCCATAAGTCCCGAATGATTGTAATTCCCTCTATAATGCCAATCCCTTACGATACACAGTAACTGGGTGGGAACACAGAGAAATCTCTCATTTCCCTTGAAATAGCTAGGAATCCACGTGGTGTAACCTGCAGGAACTGGATAAGTATCTTAAAGTTGATAGATCCAGATCAGCATTATACAATAGCAAAAGCTACAATGACACACAGGGGGAATTAGGAACGACCCAAACAGTCTATTAACTGGTGGCCATATGCACAGAAGAGGGGAGAACACCAGAGCGGAACAGAGGGACTGGAGGGGGCTTATCCCCCACCCACAAGGACTCCTGGACTCCTACCAAGGTCTGGCAGAACGGACACAAGAACGTCAACACAACTGCCAAAGAGAACACGGGGATCTGGAATGCCTCCGGATGCTGTGAACCCAGAGGATAGACATCCCCCCTCTTTGGACAAACTACACGAGTTGGAAGAAGTCCAAGTCCTTCCACATAGGAACTAACGACATCAGAACAACAGCCAGGAACCATGATCGGCCATCAGAATCAGAAGATCAATAAACTTCCAGCGGGACAATGGGGGGGGAATCTTCTCCAGTCCTTACCTAGTTCCAACTCTGGGCCTCCACCTCCTATAATGACCAACAAGGTTCCTCCTAACTCCCCTGCCCCCCTTCACACACACACACACATTCACACACACTCATATACACACACTAATAGGATGAGATAACCAAAGAACAATAAAGATAGGTCATCAAAGACTCACTCATGTACTATTAGATGGAACATAAAGAACAAGTACCCATCAGCAAGGTATGAGAGATTTCTCTGTAACATCCCCCAAAATCATTGCACACCTCAATTGAGGAGGTGACAATGAAATAGTTGTAGAAGGCAGTCAAGAACTTACATGTAATTTTAACGTATTGTCTACTCAATATTATGTCAGACATCTAATATCTGCCTTGATTTAACCTGTAATTTATGCTTGGTTGATTGTTACTTTTTGAACCAGTCACTGACACTGTCTAAACCCAGATGTTTTGAAGAATTGAACTTGCATTATTTTTAACATATTGTTCACTCGATACTATGCCAATTAATTCCATAACATTGTATATTCACGCTGATGTTTTGTTGGGGGTTTTAACTGACCGGAACTTTACTCTGTTAGCCCTACCTTCAGACCAGAGAAGGCCTTCCCAAGAGACCACTGAACTTATCTGGACAATAAGACGCTGGACTTTATGCTAGGTATATGCTTGCAATGAAGGAATTTCAACTGAACTTGAACCGCGGTTATGCAGCAAGGTGGAGCAATCCACTATAGGGGGAGGGGTGTGGGAGGGGTGGGGGGACTCCCCAGTGCTTATAAAACTGTATCACATAATACAAAGTTAATAACAAATTAAAAAAAAATAAAAAAAGAAAGATAATCAAATCAGAAGCAATAAAAGGAAAATGCACAAATCATACATCATCACACATTAATCATTTGCACTTACAGCAACTATTTAGAGTAAAGGATACACACAAACATAAACTCTCAGCCATTGTCCATACCTGCAATATCAGGGTACATTTAAATAGCAGAATGTTGGACTTATGGCTGCTTATTACTAACCATACTATTGCCATAATATAGGGGGATTCACAGGGTAGGAATTTATAGAGGAGTTAAGGGAAATCCAAGAGCCTATGGAATTATATCATAAGATAAAAAAGTTATTTAGAAAATATTAATAGTGGAACAAACAAAAAATGATTTATCCTTATCTGGACAATAAGATGCTGGACTTTATGCTAGGTATATGCTTGCAATGAAGGAATCTCAACTGGATTTGAACTGTGGTTATGCAGCAAGGTGGAGGAATCCACTATGGGAGGAGGAGTGTGGGAGGGGTGGGGGCAATCCCCAGTGCCTATGAAAGTGTATCACATAATACAATGTTAATAACAATAAAAAAATTAAAAAATAAATAATAATAAAAAAGAAAGGCTATATGATGAAGATGCAAGAGTCAAACACTGGCAAGAAAGAGAAAGAGTTGGAACCTTACATACTCCAGGTAAGAAAGCAAAATCATACAGGTATTACTGAAAAACACTTGAAAATAATTGAATTAGCTAAACATAGAATTATTGCCACTAATTCTACTACTGAATATATATTCAAAAGATTAAAATGGATGTTAAAACAAAAAATTAAAATAAATAATGACCACACTTTTCAAGCCAAAACAATAACAATTCAAATGTCCAAAAACCAGTGCATCCCTTGATAGACAAAAGATTGAAAATTACAAAATGGAACATTACTTGCTGCCTAACAATGATTGAAATAAAACAATCACAAGGGAACTTTGTGTGGAACAATTCCATTTGAATGCAGTTTAAGAAATAGCCAATCTATGGAGATAAAAGATGAGTGCTACAGGGGGAAAGGAGTGATGAGAGAAGGAATAGAATTACTGAATTGACAAAAATGTTCTAGAATTGGCAACAAAGATGGCTTAACTATGCATTTAAAATAGGTATGTTATTGTTTATTAATAATATGTAAAACATATTTTAACAAGATGAATAAATAGTGCAATACTTACTTACTGAGAATAGTAAAGGACTAAAGATATCATAATTATTTAGCCTCCTGAGATTTTTCAAGAAGGGATCCTCTGGGTTTCTAAGGGAATCAGTGTTCACTCCAAATGATGTGCTAGTGATCACATCCATGCTGTATGCCCCAAGGATTCTATAGAGAGACACAAGAACAATTAAAACCAGCACCTACTTGCCATTCTTGAGCCACACATGCAGCAGGAAGTGCTAAGAAAGCACATGTCAAGCAAAGCAGGCAGACTGCCAAACCATTCCTGGACCACATCTGGAGGCAGGCATAGGGCCTCAGTGGCTTACGTTTAGTAAGCACACATCAACAGTCAGAATTCTGGCTTAAGTCCAGCCGACCACCTTTCTGATCTAGCTTCATGCTAACACATCCTGGCATGCAGAAGATTGTAGTTTAACAGGTTGTCACCATATCACACATGAGTTCAGAAATAGCTAACATGGTGGACCAGCAAATAGGACATATCCACCTCTCTACTATTGAGATAAAGGTATTTGTTAAAAGATAAAACTACAACCTAGATCATCAGAACAAACATTACTTCCGTTACTCACACTCACACGTGTCAAGGGTGAAATGTGCAGTTGTCATTGTCCTAGGGGTAGCAGGGACTCTAGGAATATTAGGCATGCATTTACACTCAAGCAGAGCTAAAGACCATAAAAACATAGATTGCAGAAGTGTGTGCTATATGTGTTTGTAACTGGTGTGTAAGATCTAAAGATTTAGCAGGACAGAGTGGAATAACGCATTCATTCTAAGGGACTCTAGAAGGTGGCATGCGGTCACCCATCCAAGTACTTATTGGGCCTGATCCTGGTTAGCTTCTGAGATCAGACGAGAATAAAAATAGATATGAGACACATGAATAGTAATCTATAGCCATTTTGAGGTGTATAGAACCCAGTTGAATATAATCCAAAAATTGAAATGTCTATGAAGAAGTCACGCGATGTGGTTAAGAACCTACATTTTCCTATTAACATATTGGTTAATCATTACCATGTCAATTAATGCCATACTGTTGTAAATTGTTGTTGATGTTATGTTGGGCTTTTAATTGATTGGGATGATACTTTACTGGCTTTACCTTCAGACCAGAGACGGTCTCACCAAGAAATCTTTGAAGCTACTAGGATAATAAGATGCTGTACTTTATGCTTGGTAAATACTCCCAATAGAAGAATCTCAACTGAATTTGAACTGTGGTAATGCAATAAGATGGAGAAATCTACCATGCAAGACGATTCAGGGAAGGGTGGGGGTATCCCAGTGCCTATAACACTGTATCACATAATGCAATGCAATTAATAAAAACAATAATAACAAAAAGATGGTGACATGTGTCCAGGTCTTGCCTCACACCAGAAACCAATGGGAAAAATGCTTTTTCCCTAGCACATTACGAAACATCAACACTCTGCTCTAAATTGCAGGAACTTCATTTCCCCTTTTCTCCATCCGTTGACAATCCACTAAAATACACCTTGTTTTCCTTCACTAGAATCTGAGATGGGCCTGAAGGTAGAATTCACTTTAAAATCATAGACAACCATGAAGAAGTATAAGAATAAATCTCCCTTAAACCTAGTATTAGGAAGAATTCATAAATATGTGATATTCTCCCTGCTTCTCCAAGAATTTGTCGTTTACAAAGTCTACTACTGAATAATTCAAAATTAGGTCATACTGATTAGAGCAGCAGAATAGTACAATTAGGATGCTGTTTGAGATGCTGCATTCCATGTGTAAGTCCTCAGGACAAATGTCAGCTCCTCTAATAAACCCCAGCTTCTTCAGAATGCATGTTCTTGGAGACACCAAGGAACAGCTCATGCACTGGTGTCATTCAACACCCAGGTGAGAGCTACATTGAATAACTACCTCTTGGTTTGCCTAATCCCTACTTTTGCATATATTTAAGATCAGGAGACAGAACATATGTCATATTCTAGGCCTCTCATCACACCAAATAAATATACCTACATATATAACAAATTATTTTTGGTTGAGATAACAAATTATTTTATTGTCAACCCCAAAGGCTTTTCTGGGCCTTCTCTCTCCACATATTCAAGAACTTTAAAGTAAAAAACATACTTCAATATTTAGTATTTTCCTAATATCTTTAGCAATATCATGAAGGCATTTCGGTTATTCCTGCACACACACTGGGACCCTCCTGGCATAGAGCTTGCTTCCCCAAATATACCAAATGCTTCCCCTACTGCCCCAGCCCTACTCCATACCATCAACCACAACAAAAACAAACAAAACTTTAACTTTGACACAATCATGTTTCTTCTTTCTACACTTGAATTTTGTCTCTCAAGTACTCAAGGTGACAGTCAAGCTAGTAACTCTGTTACATGCTCTATTCAAAGAAGGCCCAATCTGTCCCCAACTCCCTTTGAGTTGGGTCTGAAAATTCTGGTTGAATCATTGGAGTTTACACAGCATACCAGCTGTTGTATGCTGACTCTAGGGATTCCAGAAGGGAAATTTCAAATCCATGCCATGCACTGAAAGAGCACTGAACCCCACAAATATATTACTACTTACTCTTTCACATTGATGGGCTTGCCTTTCTCTGCTTCCTGACTCAGATTTTTCACCAACACATCTCCATAATGGACAATGATGGGTAACATCTAGGTACACACACAACACCAGCCACAGTGAGATGCAGAGACTCAAGTGACATAAGGAAATAGTTTTCTAATGCATGCAGGAGTGACATTGGTCTAAGTATGCACCACATAATTCACAGTTAAAATAAATATCCAAGTCAAAAGGAATGGATTACCACAAAAGAGGTATTTCAGCAACATCTAATGTCTCTTCTAGGACACATACACAAAAAGATCATTTTGAGGAACCTTGAGCCCAATGAATCTTGCCCTTCAAACTCACTAGAATTTTGTTTCTACTTGTTTCCAGACTCAGCTAAGTTTCTACTTAAAAATCCACTAATACATTACCTCCTTGAGTTTTCCACTAGTGAAGGCTGGAGACAACAGTGTTCTAAGTCTCTTCCATTCTTCATCCTTAGAGATCATGAGGGCAATTTTCATAAATCCCACTGGTCCAAAAGACTAGAATTCAAATAAAGACATTTCATCATGCATAAGTTCTAAGGATCACCATTGCTGCAAATATTTGTTACAGACACATCAGTCATTTCAAAAGTATTTAGTGGAAGTATACCAGTTGGCGTGCTACGATTATGTGCTCAATAAATATTATTCCAAATGCTTAGCCACATAGGATAGTAGATTTGCTATGGTCTGAGCCATTTTTCTTCCATTTTCCTATAAAAAGTCAATGTGCCATAAATCAGAGAATCTGGCCTTCCAGGAGACAAAACAGAAATAGGATCCTAGAGCATCCTCTAACATATAGCAGAAAAAAATGTGTTGCTGGTAGAAGGCCATATGGTTCACAAAAGGTGTATGTTTATTTGAATCAATTTTGTTTTCCATCCCTCTGCTCACTCTCTATACACAGAAACATGCACATGAAACACAACTGATAAAAGAGGAGATCTTTCCTTAAAAAGTAAAAATACCTTTCATTTAGGTTTAACTGTTCCACTTTGAGGTATGTATCCCCTCCAGACAATGAAATCATAGTATCAAAGAAAGAACTAAACTCTGAAGTCCTGTTATTTGCAGCTCAATGGATGGAACAGGACCTTGTTATCTTAAGCCAAATAAATCTTACAAACAAACACCAAATGTTTCTCTCATGTGTACAAGTTTTATAGCCTATTGTGAACACAAGGTACTGCTGCAGGCTTTGAAGGACTGCAGGAGGAAACAGAGAAGGGTGTTGAAAGGCAGGCACCATAACACTGTGTCATAATAGGATTTAGGGATTGATACTACAGTGGCACACCTATACTTCACAATAATGTATTTTTATACTGAATGAAATGCTGAAAGAGAATAATTCACGAATTATTCTGGCTATGAATTATAAGAAATTATAAGGAATATAAGAAAATAGAAGGAACAGTGTCAGTTGGACCCAATAAGGGCAGCTACTGCTTTAATTATGATCTAGGTTCCTTTCAATGGCCAAGGAAAGCATTGGGGGATGAATGAAACACTTTGGTTCCTGCAACCACGCGGAAAACCCAGAAGAAGCTCCTGGCTCCTAGCTTCAAATGGGCCAAGCTCTGGCAATGACAGTAATTCAGGAGTTAACCAATTGATGGACGCTCATGCTCTAAGTCTCACTCTTACTCTCTTTCACCCTCTCTCTCATTCTTTCTCTGCAATCTCCACCCATTTCATTAACAGATTTTTGGTATATTTAATAAAAATTCTTTACTAAAATTAAAGACTGAAAATGTTAACTACCTGGTCCATTGATTCTACATTTATTTATTAAAATATTATGCAGTAGAATGAAAACAATTGCATTATATGCACCAAAAAACTTACACATTTGTACAATGATTTTTTTTAAACAGATAATATCTCTGAGGCTAATACTTACTTGTTAGGCCAGCATGTGGCATTTCATACTAAACCTCTCATTGCAGTTCAAGCAACTTTTAGTAGCTTTGACATCCTATATCAGCATTCTGATCCAGCTCCCTGCATATAACCTGGAGAAACTGCAAAGAATGATGAAATTATCTGGCCCCTGCATCTACATGGGAGACCCAGAAGAAGCTCCTGGAGCTTGGCTTTGATTAAATCTGCTCTGGCCATTGCAGCCTTTTATAAAGTGAAACAGTGAATGGGAGAGTTTCTTCTGCATCTCAACTTCTATTGCTGAAAAATCTGCCCTTCAAATAAGAATACATACATCTTTAAAAAGTAAACTTATTTGCTATTCTGAAGAATTAATGTAATTGTATGGAAGTCCATTTTTCTCAATATCACCACAAGAAGAAAAGGAAAAATAGAATTATACAAATCATCCTAAAACTGGCCAAGCAACCAAAATTCTAGGAATATTTTTCCATCTTCTAAAGCTATAGGTTGTTTAAAATGAACATTTCCAATATTATGCAAGAAAATAATTAAAACTTGGAAGTACGGACACACTTTCTCAACTTGATTTTAAAAAAAGATGCTGTTTTTCAAAGAAAAAAAAAGAGTAGAAGAAAAAAAATTCAGTCAACATACGATGCAATGGAGAAACTCAAAATTTTGCCATTCCCATCAGTCAGAATTCAGATGAAATCACTCTCTTGTTAAACTTATGAAGACATAATATAAATATACTTGCAATCACTTCCAATATATATAAGCAGTTTAGGTATAGAATTAACATATATGCATAGAGAAAGATAGATCAATGGATAGACAGGTAGTATATGCTGATAGCAATATGTTAATGAAAGGAATCCAAGAAACCTAACACAATGGAGAGGCATGCTACGGTCATAGACTGACATAGTCACAACTCTAAGGACACAGACTCTAACACAGCTCAGCTGCACTTTGCTGCAGACAAATGAACTATCCTAAATTTGTATTTGTATGGAAAGGCAAGAGAACATGAACAGCTAAGCCACTCCTGAAAAATAAAGTGGGAGAATTCACACTACATGGTAAGGCTTATTATAGAGGAGCCATAACCAAGACACTATTATTATTGGAGGATTAGTCAGAGTGATCAGTACAATAGAACAGATGATGAAACTTGGACCCACACAATCACTCCTGAATTTCACAGGTGATAAATCAGTTTAATGAAGTGAGTGAAGGAATGTTGAAACAAATTGGGTAGCACATAGTCCAAAAATTAACAGTGGTCTAAACCGCATACCTGACATAAATACTAAGTCAAAATAGATTATATATATACATAAAGTATAAAACACAGAAGTGCTAGGCAAAGAATTTTCAGACGTGATATTAAAAGCACAATGAACAAAAGCATGTAGGAGAATGTCAATCACTTGGTTGTGAGTTCATGCTTGTATCCCAGGGCCCTAATGAAGGTAAAATGAGAATTTGTTTGTTATTTATGGGCAGTACCAATAATACTGATAAAAAGGACATTGTCTACTAAAGGGTTGGGAAACACACCAGCGGAATCATGATGGACTTGGGAAAATTCAAGACACACAGAGACTAGATGGGAACAAAAAGTAGAGGATATGAAACTTGGATGGGGGAGCAGGGAGAACCCAGCACCAACTAAACTGTATCAAAAAAACAGTTTAATTTTTTTCATATTCAATATTATTTCATTCAACTTTGAAAAAAAATTAACCTTAGGAAAAATGAAGAAATTGACCTCCTCTAAATAAAAAGCAAAAAAAAAAAATCTTACAAGGATTCTGTGAAAAGTAAGGGATACGGTACATATTGTCACTCTAACAAAAGAGTAAAAGTGAGTTTTTTTTCTGATGGAAGAGTTCTGATCTATTTGTGCTGCTAACTATACAAATCTACACATCTGTCTCATGTGGTTAACTACATGCACACACACAGAGGGAGAGAGAGAGAGAGAAAGAGAGGTGAAACATGAAATATGAATACAATTTGTTGTCTACCTGCTACTGGAGAAATTCACTAATTTTGTACTTGCACACAGTGTCATCCAGAAAAACAAAATGAAACACTCATGAATCTTCCACGATCATTTTGTGAATAGCTAATATTTAAGAACAAAAGTCTAACAATTAATACTTAAACTTGAAAAATATTCCAATGCCTACCCGCCGGTTTGTGAAGACAGAGTAACATTCCTTCACAAGCACTGTTTTCATCATGTCTGGATCAGCAATGACCAGCACAGGCTGTAGACCCTGAAAAAATCTATCATAGGGAAACAGAAATGGTTAAACATGACCAACCTGATGCAGCAGGCACAGCCAACCCCAGGAACCACACTTTGATCCTGAGATTATGTTTGTTACAGCCCTTTTGTACAACACACAGCAACATCCTTTCCTGGTTGAAGTTAGATTAAGATATACAGCAAGATTCCAACTGCAGAAGACACTCCTGTCGTCAAAAACTTAAGGTAAATCAAAGGAAGAAAATACATTTAAACATGAAATAGTTTTTTAAAGAAGCCTTTCCCTGTTCCTGTTTCTTGGATAGTGCTTCCAATGTTTTTGTTTTACAGTTCTGATGGTTTCTGCATGTAGATTTCGGTCCTTGACCATTTAGAGCTGATTTTTGTATTATATGACAGGTGTGGGTTTTGCTTCTTAATTCTGCATGCTGATATCCAATTGTCCCAACAGCATTTGTTGAATAGACCAGGCTTTTTTGCTGGATTGTTTGCAGTTTTCTTGTTAGAAATTAGTTGGCAATACATGGACAAGCTCCCTTCTTGTGTTTCTATCCCATTCTATTATTCTTCTCTGTTTCTGTACCTGAGTGTTTAGATGACCACTGCTCTGTAGTAGGTCTTGAGGTCTGTAATTGTGATTCCCTAAGAGTGAATTTTATTCTTCAGGATAGCTTTGGTATTCGGGGTCTCTTGTGTTTCCACATAAACTTTTGTATCATTCTTTCCATTTCTGAGAAGAATGTTGTTGGAATTCAAATTCCGATTATGTTGAATCTGTATATTGCTTTTGATCATATGTTCATTTTGATGATGTTGATCTTACCATTTCTAAAAAATGGTACATTTCTCCATTTCTCCATGTTTTCTTCTGTTTTCTTTTTAATCTTAAACTGTTTTCATCTTAGAGGTCTTCCACATATTTGATTTGATTAATTCCTAGGTACTTAAGATATCTGCTATCTTAAAGTGGACAATGCTTACAATTTCTCAGCCATGCAACCATTTGTATATAACAGCACCACATATTTGTCTTCATTTATTTTGTATCCTGCTACCCTGCCAAAGTCTGCTCTGAGATTCAATAGTGTCTCAACTGTGTTTTGGTTCTCCTATGTATCGAAACATGTTATCTGCAAATACAGATCCTTTCAGTTCCTCATTCAATTTGGGATCTTTCAATTTCTTTTTCTTGCCTAACAACTCTGGCAAGGATTTCCAATACTATATTGAAGAGTAATGGTGACACTAGACATCCATGCCTAGTTTCAGATTTTAGAGGAAAGGCTTTCACTCTTTCTCCATTTAATATGGCAGCCAGAAGAATCTAGCTGTGACTGCTGCTGGGTCCTTGTCTGTTGCTGGGGTCTGGATCTCTGCTCACCAGCCACTATTGTGCTCTCTGTTCTCTGTAACACTACTCTACCTTCACTGCCACTTCTGTCTGTACTGAGGGTCTCTATGAACCCCCACTGCCAACTGCCAGATTACTTTATTTTCCTGTATTCTGTCCTTGCACTAGATGATAGAGTTGAAACAACAGACCACTGAATTACCAATGCGTGGGTGACAGAAAGAAAACCCAAATGCCTAATTGGCATGATGGTTTTCTTATATTAAAGAGAACATATGGTATTTGTCCTTTTGTGATTGCATTATTTCATTGAGGATGATGCTCTCTAGTTGGGGATGTCTAGTTGCTAATTATTTAATTTCATTCTTTTTAATGGCTGAGTAATATTCCATGGAGTAAATGTACCACAGTTTCTTTAACCCCTCCTCTTTGAATAGGCATCTGGATTGTTTCCATGTTTTTGCTATTGTAGCTTGTGCTGCTGTAAATATAGGATTATAGCTCCCTTTCTCATGCGGTTTTCTTTAACTTTGTGTATATTCTTAGGAGTGGAATATCTGGGTCATACGGCAGATTTATCTGGAATTCTTTAAGCATCCTCCATACTGATTTTTATATTGGTTGTACTAGTCTATATTCCTACCAGCAGTGAAGGCAGGTACATTTCTCCCCAAATCCTTTCCTGTGCCAGCAGGTATTGCTAGTAGAGTTCTGAATGTAGGCCCATCTGACTGGAGTTAGGTGGTACCTCAGTGTGGTTTTCAGTTGTATCTCCCTGACAGCTACGGAATCTGAGCATCTTTTCATATGTCTGATATCCATTGGATTTCATCTTTTGAAAAATGTCTGTTTATTTCCTTTGCATATCATTTCATAGCAACTTTGCTGTTGTTGTTCTTAGGAGTCTAGGGAGAGGGCCAACCTTTGCCGGCTAAAACTATCTGGCCCTGATTTGCAAATCTATGCACAGAACTACTTAATCAACACTAGCACATACTAGCTCTAAAATATGAGTACTAAGGGGAGTGAAAACACCCACCAACCACAAGGTGGCAGCAACCAACAATGACCTGACTGCCTGGCTGGCTGATAGGCAAATTTAAGATTGAGTGAAAGGAGATCCAGTGCTTCATGTTCTTCCAACAGATCACAATAGTTTTGTAGGCCATGTTACCTCAGAAGTCCCTGGACCAGCTATAAGAGTTTGATCAGACAAGATCTGAAATTCTAAAAACATATAAGAAGTGGCAAAATCATTTCCAACTTGCTCATATATTCCAAGCACATCAGTTATACCACTTTCTCTGCTGAATGAATACTGGAAATGGACAAGGATGCCCTATATTTAACCCTAATATACACATATATAAACATCCATTGCATATATATATATATATATATATATATATATATATAGTATATATACAACACATTTACTTGTACCTTCCAGTCCTTCTTTCTTTTCTCAATAATTCTATTCACTCATTTATAATCGATCTATTAATGGTATATTTTGCACAAAAAGAAGGAATGCAAGAAAAGTTAAGTTTCCCATCCTCTAGTTTACTTCCCAAATTGACACAATGGCCATGATTAAGTTGAAACAAACATTGGACCAAGAGCTTCTTCCAAGTTTTCCATATAGGGGCAGGGGCACCAAGTTCTTGAGTCATTCTCCACTGCCTTCCAAGCAGCCAGCAGAGTGCTGTATCACAAGTGGAGCAGCTAGACACAAGTTTGTCCCCAAACCTTGGGTACCTCACCAGAAAAAGGAAACTTTCCAAATACTCACCCCCAAATATGTCCATATTTTTTATAACATTTCATCTCAAAATCCCACACACCCTGAAAGGGAAATGAAATGAAATGTGATTATTATTGCAAAACCAATAAACTTGATCTCCAGTTGAAGCAAACTAAGAAAAATAAAATCACTACAAGCTTAAGATGTTATGATTTAATTATCAGAAACTCCAATTCAGAGAGACCTGGGAAAAAAAGAGAGATGGTAGTTGAAGTGCAGAATTCAAAGGCATTTTTTAGGTTTCCCTAAATACTGTGGAAACCCTGTTGCTAAACCTTATCTATAGAGACTGTGTAATCCTTATCATTGTGAAGAAATTTTCTTGGGCCTCTGTGGTATTAAAATATTTCATACCCCAGCAAGTATTTTTCTCCATGTATACATGAGGAAACTGAGACTTGACGAAAACTGTGAGGTTCCCCAACATGAATTCAGTCACGTCTCTAGATATCATGAACTTTCTAGACTTCTGACAGATTTAAGATACTAAAGACACCAGTCAATTTCTTCTGTACTCACAGATTTATGTCACTCTTGAGTATGTTCCAGAGGGAGAAAGTGCATTGGTGAAATAATGCATGTGAACTCACCTTCCAATTTGGGAACACAGTATGGGAAAGAGTAACAGATACAAGTTCTACACACAGCACTAGTATATTATGGTAATAGCACAGGGTCAGGCATTCCTGCATAGTAGCTAAGTCATGTCTCTTCCATATTTGAGTATCTGTGCCCCATATCTGTCCCTGCCTTCTCACGTTAAATTCACACTGATACATATCATAGGCTTCAGCAGAGATGGCTCAGCTAACAGGGTACCTCTGTTCTACTTGCAAGGCCTGGATACAGTTGTACTTCTAAGCTTCTGATCAAGTGTAGTCATGGATATTGTGATCCACACATCCATCAGAAACCTGGTAAATTCAAACCTACTCCTCTGAGAATTTCATCTCATAAAATTCAACAGTCTATGCAAACACATGAGGAAAATGTAGCTGGGGTCCTTGCAGTGGGTGTGGGTGACATGAAGGTGTGAAGAGAACAGCTCCCCTGCTTGGCAGGTCCCCGGGGGGCTTCCAGGTGTTTGGCAGGGTCTGGAGGATTTCTCTCTGACCATTTTGACACAGCCTCACCACCCTTTTGCATGGAAACTCAAGCATCCCACTAAGTATTCTGTAATCTATTGAGGCATTGTTTGACCCCTTGAGATGGCTTTTGCCAACATTATTGTTAATGTCTTGGTGAGTGGGCCTTTAACTGTGCATAGGAGTACAATTAAACCCATGCCACTTTTGGACACCTTATTCTGTACCTATCCATTTCCCTGAAATCGGGCCTAGACATATAGCATGCCTTCTGGGAAATGTCTTAAAAAGAATTTTACAAAGTAATGGAAGTGATCAGAGTGAGAGCTGAAACTGCTATGGCAATAAATATAGTAATTGTCATCTCAAAGAATAGCCTGTCTTTCTGATTTTTGTAGCACAGAAAATGTGACTGTTTCAGCCACTTTTATACTTTTTAGCTATGAAATTAAGGATGCTTTTATTAAAGAAAAATGCTTTTGATTATTCTTTTATTATTTATGGCGTTATAGAATCTTTAATTGTAGGGGGATTTAACATTTGAAACTTTTGTTTTAGATTTTATATTTTTTTTCTTGTAACCTATTTTCCCATTAAATAATGGGTAAATTGTACAAATAGAAATGTGGTAGGAATGTACTGCTGATTAGCAGGTAATCGCATGTGCCTTGGCCTTAGAGTGCTGGCTATTGCTCCATGGCTACTCTTGAAGAATGAATAATGGCTTGCTTTGAAGAATATAAATACAATATTTTGCAGAATTATCTTTAGGGGCACCTGCTAAGCCCTGAAGTACAGACAGAATGATTAAATGTCTGTACATGACGCCTAGTCTTGAAATAAAAAAATAGAACAACCAGTTGCTTGTGTAGAAGCCCTTGAGGTGTCTGAGTAATTTAAAAGGACAACTTTTTCTTGAGCTGTGTGAGAACACACCAAGTGACAGTGTCTGTGTCTTTCTTTATTGCTGACTACATGCACCCTTCCTGAGCTCTGAACTTGGCTGGAGCTGGACTGCGGCAAAAGGCAGCAGTTTAAGGACACTCACCTTGCGGTAGCCCATGATATTTCCCAGGAAAGGCAGAGGTGTTGGCCCAGGAATACCCAGCTTCTTAAAATGGTCATGTGTAGAGGTGCCATATCTGTAAAGTCAAGGAGGAAGCAGATCACAAGGGTGATATTTTACATAGAAGGGACACATGCTCAATATCAGAATAAGAGCTGACACTGTGTGTGGGTTCATCTGGAAATGAGCCAGGCTGAGCTGGAATGCTGCATCAGCTGACAGGTGCCAGCATTAGTTGTGAATCATATTAGGCTGGACGGCAGTACGCCAGGGAATGCACAGGATTCAGTGCTGTGAGCATCCTTGGTTTGGGAACTGTGAACACTCCCATGCTGGGCTGTATCTTTCACCTTGGTGTACAAGAACCATGTCTATGTGTGGAGGTGGGGCATTCTGACCTAAACCACAGCACCCATAAGTCTTTATGAGAGACAGATGGGATACGTACTTAGTAGGGCTAGCCTGCAGCAAAAGATGGCAACACCAGGGATGTGGGCAGTCCTTGTGGGGGTCTTGGAGGTTGCCTCACTTAGTCTTCATAACCCACTGGTTTGCAGAAGGTAGGGCTGGATCACAGCACCATCAACTCACACAAGGGATAGGGTAAAATTGGAACTAACCAAACAGTATGGCGTGTGTGTTGGCTACTGCATGTGACAAAGCATACCTGCACTGGAAAATAAACACAAGAGTCAAGAATGAGGTAATCAAAATGAGATTTCTTAGGGGACTCCCAAGAAACTGACAGATTTAGACACTGGCCTCAAGGAAAATCACAGGATGCATGGTTCATCTTTGAAGCACATGTTTTGGACTGTACTACCTCAGTTACTGATGCCTCTGTGGAGGAGAGCATGTCCAGATGCACACCAGGGTCATGACAGCAAGTTCATCTAGGCCAGCAGGTGAAATCAACTGACTCACCAGAGGATGAAAAGCAGATCAGATTGGACAAATTTTGCCAAGCATTGAAGCATGTTCTTAGGTTTGTGGATGCAATAGGTGGATTTTTTAAACCAACAGACCTTGGAAACGTTTTTTTCAATACTTGAGTAGTAAACTCAAAAATTTCTCAGAGGTATCAAAACTACTGAAGTAACTCCCTTGAGTCATTCTTCCACAATTGTGGGTCTCTAAGGCATCATCAAATGACTTATCCCCATCCCAAGTTTCTGAGGTAGTCTGACACCAAGGAATAGCATCTGCTGTCCACTCCACTGCAGAATAGAGCAAAAAGAAACACATCTGAAGCATATGTCACACACACACACATTCTTCCATTCCTCAAACTCTCACAATAATCAGAATCCCTATGCACACAGAGTCCTCTCAATGATGAACAATATTAAAAGGAAAATAAAAAATTAAGAAAAAAAATATAAAATGGATTTGGTGAAGCTCTGATTTCTTGAGGCTCCTTAAAGAGGAACATTAGAGGGAAAATAAATGTCTATACTACTACTAACTTGTTAAATTCACAGAAACTGTGAGGAATAAGGAAAAGATAGTTGCAGATGGCTGTCAGGTCTGCTCTTCTCTGAAAATCACCATTTCACCTAGTGCAAGGCTGAGCAGTCAATTCACAGGAGACAGGTGGCAGTAGAGGAGTTCCAGGGCTGAAGCACAGAGGGGTAGAAGAACTGAATTTAAGCCTCTACAGACGTCCGGGCCCTGGGCTGCTCTGTGTCAGTGAAGCATGGACAATGGAAAGGAAAAAGTCAAGAGCCAACCACATGTACAGAGAATGATTTCGCTCACTCCTGCAGTGCAGATGCAGATTCAGAAGGTAAAGCCACTGCAGATCAGTGGAAGTCAACCTCTTCTGCCCTCAGAATCTCTGGAGTATAGGCCTTTGTTGAGGATCCCACTGTACTTGGAATCCATGTGTTTATAACTTATCTCATCTGAATTCTAACTACACAGTATATGTCAAACTGAGAATCAACCAGTATATCTTCTATGAAACAAATGCTATTAACACTTCATGCAGAAAGAGATTAGGAACTGGATGGGGCGAGATAGGTCAGTAGTCTCGTTGAAATCTGCAATTACCTTTCTATTGGTATCACCAAGTATTTGGAAAACTTCCACTCTAATCGTCAGAGCAGATGAATGAAAGACAAGCATCATTACCATCCCAGATGCAAGCCTACAGGAGAATTCAGATGGACAGCTACTCACAGATACAGGAGCACCAGGCTGGTAGCCATGAGAACCCAGGTTTCTAAGGAAAAGTATGGCATCAGGTCCATTGTCACTCTCTGCTGCAGCTCTCTCCTCTAAGTGTTCTCTGCAGCTGTGCGTACTGCTCCGTGCTGGGCTATAAGTACACAGCTGCCATGCCGTATAAGCTGTGATCCCATCAAGGTGACTGGAATACTTATGTACTGGGGAATGAGGTGTAACTGGAACTGCAATGAGTAGAGGATTTACTTATGCCCTGCCCGCAATCTGGGACTTTCTCCAACCTGACATTTGTCAAGGAATCTTAGACATGCCTCAGTCATCTCGGTCATGTCCGTGTTCTGTGCCAGATCAATTCTAAAAACAAAAGCAAAAACAAAACCTCAATTAACTATGACAGCAAATCTCCACACCTACCTTCTTCTCTACATCTGTCCACATTCAAGTAATCTGAAATCCACACAATCAACTCACACCAAGACATGTTACTAGACTAGAATGTCCCTCTGCCCCTAGAAGGCTATTTGTCCTTCAAACACCAAATACATAAAACACCCCATGTAGCATCACTCCTCATTAAAATCCTGGAGCACACAAAACAATCTCTTCCAAGTATCATCAGTCCCCCCCACACATTTGGGTCATTGTCTTCCCTGCCCTCCAGTATCACTGTCAGTTCTACCTGTGCTTTCTTTACATAACAAGAATCTCAAGGGCATGGCCTGGTCTTAGTCTCTGTTATGTCCCTAGCTTCTGTCACGGTGTGTCTCAACAGGTTGCTTGAGTCAGGTAATACTGCTGGACCCTGTATGCCCTTTCTCTGTGACCCTGTGGAGAACATTGCATCTTCCACAGTGAGAGGAGCTATCAGGGTCTCAGTCCCCATGACTGAACATTGTGGGTGATCCACCAGGTTTCTGCTGCCACAAAGTTCCTGAAGAGTGGACCAGATGGAACCATGGCTGCCTTGAGCTACATCAATTCAGGCTGTGTTGTGTGCATGCAGAGTCCTACATCAGACTGATTAGATTTCACTCACTTTGGTTCTCTCTCTACAGGAAGATAATGTATCCAAAATAATGAGTGTGACAAAAAACACTATGTATGTAAAGATTATGTATCTCAGAAAACGACAAGAGAATTGGGCCACATGTCCATATGGACCTCAACCACATTGGCCATCAAGGTTGTGGCAGGTGTCAGCTTAGGTAGCACAAAAAACACTCAGATCTTTACATATACAACTCAGAACTTCTCCTTTGGGACAAAAGGGGATAGAAGAACATACCATCCAATTTCCTAGTCAGTAGGAGTTTTTTGAGGGATGGGAAATCTTGTTCAGTAATCTAATATTGAAACCTGCCTGCAAAGGCTGGGAGAAGGGTAGGGTTTACTTTTCTACCCTCCTTGCGCTGCAGAGAAGCTATTGAGAGAAAAAGGACAAGCAGGACCATATCATTACTGCTCATGATTTGGTGCCTCCAGCAATGTATCTCCTGATTGACAACTCCTATTCCTCTCCACAGCACTGCATGGCTCACCAAGTGTCTCACCCCTTTCTTAATCAATCCTCATTGCCTCATCTCATTGTAGTCCTTGGAGATAATTAGTAATGAGACTGTGCTGTTACCCACTTTGTCATTGTGAAATCAAACAGATGGAAGCGAGACTTCCTCAAGCAGTTAAAATAAGAAGCCATAGTGACACATGCACGGCGTCGGCCAGAGGGGTGGTAAGCAAGCGCCTGGGCTGCCCTGCTCAGTGCCAGAGGCTTGTGCACATGGAAGGTTGGACTTTAGTGATGGCAACATTAGTGGTAGCTGTGGGAGCTGGGAAGCTAGGTGCGAGAAATCCCATATGTGTCTGAGAATGCCACTTCACCACCTTCAGTCTCTCGCAGCCTGGGTCCATCCTGGGTGCTGAGGCAAGTAAAGGCACTTGCCTCGGGAGCCATGAGCACAGCCCTGGTTGTTTTGTAACAACCATGCTTATTACAGCCTCTGTGTTTGATTTGTTTTGCCAATGACGGTGCGGCTCCCCTCCACGGGGTTGGACTCTCCCAGAGTCTAACACTGTAGCCTCATTCTCAGTTGCTTCCACAGTTCTGCTGCAACCATAATGGATTACGATGTTGCAAATGTCAGTTGCTTCCAGCACACTACAAATGTATTGATGATGCCAGAACAGAAAGAAAAAGTGGTGTTATCATCATGCTATTAGGAAATAAAACAGATCTTGTTGACAAGAATCAAGTGTCTACTGAGGAGGGAGAGAGGAAAGCCAAAGAGCTGAATGTCATGTTTACTGAAACTAGTGAAAAAGCAGGATAAACGTAACACTGCTCTTCTGATGTGTTGCAGCAGGTTTGCCTGGAATGGAAAGTACACAGAACAGAAGCAGAGAAGACATGATTGATATAAAATTGGAAAAGCCTCAGGACCAACCAGTCAGCAAATGCTGTTCCTGCTAATACCGGCCACACTTTCACACTTCTACTCTAGAAACCCACTGCTTTGCCCACTTCCTCTCATTGACTGCAGTGTGAATGTTGGCTTGACCCTTTCCCCTTCAGTAATAACATATAACAACTCATCATTGGTGCCTGTCTCGTGGAGATGATCTGTTAGCTTCACAAGTACAAAAAAGTCACTGTCTTCATTATTTGTACTTTACACATAATCAAATGTTTAGGCACATTCCAGTGATAACTTTAAAAGTTAGATACAGTTTTAAAACATTTTTCCTGCATTAATGTTATGATAATGTACTACAAAATGATGGAAATTTCAGCAACAGTATCAGTGTGGCTTGTTTAAGAAGCAGTGAGCTCGGGCTCAGCGCGATAGCATAGAGGGTAAGGTCCTTACCTTGAACACGCCAGGATCCCATATTGGTGCCGGTTCTAATCCCGGTAGCTCCACTTCCTATCCTACTCCCTTCCTTTGGACTGGGAAAGCAGTTGAGTATGGCCCAAAGCATTGGGACCCTGTACCCGCATGGGAGACCTGGAAAGAAGTTCCTGGCTCTTGGCTTCGGATTGGCACAACACCGTCCATTGCAGTCATTTGGGGAGTGAATCATCAGACGGAGATCCTCCTCTCTGTCTCTCCTCCACTCTGTACATCTGCCTTTCCAACACAAATAATTAAATCTTAAAAAAAAAAAACAGCAAAAAAAAGCAGTAAGCTCACAACAGCACTTGGCCGACCTCTTTGAGCTCTCCATACCAAAGATAGATTTCCAACAGAAATCAAAGAACCCTTTCATACGTGTTTTCTTACACTTTTGAAGAGAAAAGGAGCAGAGTGCTTCAGAACAGATTTTTAAATATTCAATTCTAAACAGTAAATCATAAAATTCTTACTTGTTTTTCTCTCCCACCTCTGTTCCACACCATCCTCGCCGACAAAAATGATAAAATTCTGATGAATCTACTTGTCTCAAGATTTTAAAACTCTCAGCGAAACGTTTTTCTGTTTGAAGAGAAAAGACAACCTATTTGAACTATACAGTTTGAATGCATTTTTTTCTTAATTCTGTGAAGGCAAGGCACTACATAAGTCAAGTTCCTAGTGGAAGGACTAGTGGAAGAATTTAAATATGGAACTATGACCAAAATCACTATTCCAAGCAGAATTAATGATATCAACAAAAGAACAGAATTACAGAGAATTTGCTCAGGACAATTGAGGTCAAATTAAAGATGGAAACAGATTTTGTTTGGTAAGCATTTAGAAGCAGATCAGGAAAAGTATACATCGAAGAGGGAAAGGAGAGTATTCAAATAAAGCTTAATGTTGTGCAAACTCTTGCCTTATTTTTTAGCACTTTTTAAATGTTGGATCTTTCAGGCTGGTTTTGCTGTTTATTAGATCTGTATTGTTCAGGTAATTAACCAGTGATTAGCTTTATATTTAAGCTCCAATTAATCTTTTATTCAGTAATATTTATTTCTTTGCCTTTTTCTTTAAAACCTTCAATATTCAGACATTGTGTTGGATTTTCTTAGAGCTTTATCACCGTGACAATGTATATTTCCATTAAAGCACTACAAACAAATGTACTAGGAGTGCACACCTTTGATTTTTACTTGTTATTATGAGATTGCTGTGCAAGCTAATAAATTCATTTGTTAATATACTGTTTGCAGGAAGAAAATTTCTGAGTAATAACTCCAAAAAGGCTGCTGATTATAATTGTAAGCATGATTTAACCCAGTATAAAGATGAAAAGATGACAAAAATATCTTCACAATTCCTTATCTCTTCATTGCAACAAAACCCTTAACAGGAAAGCCTTATTTCCCTGTTTTCCTCCTCTTCCACTCCTCACTTATTGTCACCTTGAACTATACAGAGAGAGCTCTCCTATTATGGATCTGGATAGAGACGTATTATCACATATCATTAGTCCACCTACCTGTAACTCACATTCAAAGATAGGATGGAATTGTAAAGTGCTTTTATAATACAATATTATTGTTAAAGGCAAGGGTTAACTTTTTTGTTTTATTTTGACATGGCTTGTCCTGAAATAAATACAACGACAATATGGAAAAAGGAAAAAAAGAAGCCATAGAATGACATCCTGTTTAGTCACCACAAAATGAATCAGTGTCATAACCACTGGGGTTCAGTGCGTCAGACTTGCATAAGGTTATGTGTGGTTGGACATCGCCTAGGAAACTTTCACTGTGATTACACAAATGCTCAGGAACTGGTCGTAACCACAGAATCAACACAAGCACACCTTTAACTCAGTACTAACTTACAAATCCACTAAAGCTTTGAAATCAGAAGAAAGGTCAATGCTACAAACATTTCTGATATTTTGTAGTCAGTAAAATGAGGTTTCCAATAAGTAAGAGACCGCATGGAAGAATTCAATTAAACAGGAATGTAAACATCACAGGTTGTGTGAAAAGAGGCAACACTATAGCACTTGCCCTACTGACTACTGCAGTGATTTTTAAACTTCTTTTACTTGACCCCAGCCTGGCCTTAAGAAGGCCATCTCATAGTCAACCAGCAGATAAGGCATGCACCAAGTAATGTCCCTCCTTCACTTC